TTTCTTAGATCAGCCATAAACAATTTTTTGTTAAACAAAGTCAGTTTTTAACAATTTTTTGGAACTTACATTAAAACGATTCTAGTGCAACCAAAGCGTTCCTAATGACCACAGCGTGGTTTAAATGAGATAGAGAGAGACATTCCATAAAGTGTAAGCAAGACAGATAGTGACGCTTATGAGACACAGACGCAAATACAAACTAAAGTAATAAAATAATGGTTATAAAATTAAGACAGTCAGTTTCATTTTTATGATAAAATTTATTACTTATTTTACAAAAAGATATTCAAATTGCCGTCCTTGAGCTGCAATACAAGCCCGACATCTTCTTAAAAAAGATCGTGAAATCAGGCGGGCGAATCTTCCATTATTACAAAATTTAACTGCTTCCGCTATTCTCTGTCTAAGCTCTTCTACATTTTCAATCGGCTTGGAATATACTTTTCCTTCACTGCTCCCCAGAAAAAAAAACTAGAGGATTTAGGAGCCACGAGATCGGATCAACCCGCCCTATCCATCTGTCCGGATATTCCTCGTTAAGGTGTTCTCGAACTAAGCGGCTATAATGCGCTGGACAACCATCTTGTTGGAACCACATATCTCTGAAAATAATAAGCGGCACGTCCTCCAGCAAATTGGGTAAATGATTTTGTAAAAAATCTAAATAAATTTCAGCATTTAAAACTTCTGGCAACTCGAAAGGCCCTTTGACTTTTCCGTTTAAAATTCCAGTCCACATGTTTATTTTGAAACGGTACTGTGATCTATCTTGTCTCATTAATCGTGGATTTTCGACGTGCCATTCGTGTAGATTATGAAGGTTCATGTAGCCGTCTTTTTTAAAGGTTGATTCATACGACCACAAAAATATTTCTAAGAATTGTGGGTCTTCTCGGAGTTTTTGAATCATGGTTTGGCAAAACGCAACCCGAGGTTCATATTCCCGAGGCAATAACGTTTGTACTCGCTGTACATGATAAGGGTGGAGCTCATTTTTTTGTAATATTCGGTGAGCTATACTTTTGGGCACATCTGTGCTGGCCTCAATTCCACGTACCGAACAACTTGGGTCCTCATCAACTGCTTGAAGGACTACTTCCTCGTAAGGTAATGAAATTCTACCTTCACCATGCATTTGGTTTGGCAGTCGGCCATCGTGCACGTGCACATTGGTAAAAACTCTGTGATCTGGATAGCGATCAGCATTAGGGTATCTCTCGCGATACCGTCTAGCGGCTTCACTGGCATTACATTGGCATTCCCCATAAATGAGGTGCATGTTGGCATATGCACCTCATTTGCACATCATTCCTGTGTGGTGTACACAGCCACGGTATAGTACAAATACACAATAACACGTTAGTCCAGGGAAAAGCAAAGGTCGTCGTAAAGTTAAAAAAAAAACGTCCTAATCCAAATCCAAATCACACGCAAACAAGTCCAGTAAACGAAGCCAAAGTAGTAAGAATACAAAATATCACCAGCGAATACGAAAAGATGCGTAGACTACGCGCGTAGTAAACGCGTAGTAAACGAAGTAGCGTTGCGTACTGATTTCACAGAGTACTTGACTGATTTGTAGTGCGTGTACCAATACCAATAAGAGGCGTCACTACCTGTCTTGCTTACACTTAGCATGGCTCTCTGTCTTGTTCACTCATTTGCGTCTGTGTCTCATTAGCGTCAGTATCTGTCTCGCTCACACCTTATGGAATGTCTCTCTCTATCTCATTTAAACCACGCTGTGGTCATTAGGAACGCTTTGGTTGCACTAGAATCGTATTGTAAGTTCCAAAAAATTGTTAAAAACTGACTTTGTTTAACAAAAAATTGTTTATGGCTGATCTAAGAAATAATGGAGTAAGTGTTATACCACGTTAGAATCCTTATTAAATGCGCTAACTTTTAAAACTACTTGCCGAACTGGCGTAGTATAATTTTTTTCCAGGACGGTCAGTTGAAGTAGTGCGAAAAACTAATTCTGAAAACTTGGTTCGGTATAAAATTACATTTTCTTTCAAGCTGGAGTGATCGGCACAGGATTTAGGATTACAGGTTACAGAAGCACTATTCAGGATGACGTAAAAGAAAAAAAAATGTCAAAAAGTAAATATTTGTAGCAACAGGAATGAAAAAACTGTCTCATGGGTTTATCGAAGAAAAATAATTACTATAATTTATGAAACACATGACTTAGATTTTTTTATATTTTTCTGTTAACTAGTATGGCCTCGCCTATCAGAAAGTTTAGGCTTGACGTCGACTTCTGGGACATCCGATATAATATTGAAAATAAAGTTTTATCTTTTGAATAAGTGCGTACTTATTCGGTGTCGTCATCACTCGAATCTTTATATGTGTTATAAGCATAAAAGATTTTCGTTGTTAAATGAATAAAGTACTTTATAACAATAGATGATTTTTCTTCTACAGCGATCTTTTACATAACTTAAAAAATTAAAAAAATCATTATAAATAAAGAGAGTACTACATATAAAAGTGCCTATATATTGAAGGTTTGTAGTCCCTGGTTAAACGACCGAAAGGTCATTGTCCGTTTTTCTCAATCGATTTGGCACGTACTATAGCTAGGATTAATTTTTAGAAAATGTGGTTATGTCCGTGTTTTTAGGCAATGAAAAACTGCTACAATATAAGAAGGTAAATTTGTGCAATTTGTGAATGATTATAATAGCTCAAATGGGATATCGGGCGGTTCCGAAATCGTAGTACCCTGGTTCGAGTCCTGTCTTCGGTCCGACTTTTTTCCTTTTTTTCAAGTTCCCTTCTTTTGTGAGAAAATCTATTATTTCAAGTTCTTTTTTTTAGTATTTTTTTAAAAACACGAAAATTTAAATTAAACTAATTGCACTCATGATTTTTTATTCAATAATCAGTTAACTTTTTTTCTATTATGTCGGTAAGATCAAAAAATATTCTTCATATTTCATCAGTATGTAATTTGTATCTGAATATAATTTCCAAAACACACGATTTCAAAAAATTTACAAAATATATAGTAAATAAACAATAAACAAAAGATGAGCTATAGTACGTCTCTAGGGCAGGCGGAAAAAAGTACATTGACCTCAAGTATTATGTTAACATCGAAACAAAACGACAGTTATTGCTTCCATACATTTCTTTATAGATTACGTATCGTTATGCGCTAAGCGTGTCTCATGGTACGGGGTAGGGTGAAGGAAGCGGTTATTCGGAGATAATAAACCTGTTTCGCCGCGATTTGCGATAGGTCTCACGCCGTGCGTATTTGAGAAAGCGGATGGAGCAGAACTCATTCCTCATTCTGCTTTGGGATGCACTTGCGTGTAGATAGTTTGAGATTTAAAATTTTCGGTTATAGTAGTTGTTTTAATTTTTATTAAGTTTGTTTTGTTAGTTGTATTATTATTTTTTGTATTAAAGTTTTTGTTATTGTTTTGTGACGTTTGTATATTATCACTAGTATGAAATCGGGTCCATCGACATGAAAATTTCATAATGATTTTACGTCACCACGAAAGAAGCGGAAAGTGTCGCATATTTCGAAAACCAAAAAATAATAATTGTAAACATCTATAATAGTGTTGTTTATCCATCCAAAAGGGATACAAAAAGAAGACTGCCGATATTTTAGGTTAAAATCAATGTGACGGACTCTTTTACGTCTTCATCATCATAAAATGATTCTGAAATAGATACAGATGAATAGTCTATCAAGTGTCTCTGACAATCTATTATGAGAAGTTATATGCGTGCTTCAAGATTGGCTGCTTAAGAATGCTTAGCTTTAAAAGTTCGTCTTTTTACCTGACTGCCAAGAAGTGGTTATGTTTTATACAACTACCTACCTACCTACTTATTAAACTACCTACTTAATATATGTCCCACTGCTGGGCACAGGCCTCCTCTCACTTCAGGAAGGGTTTTAGGGCAAGGAAATGTCGGCCACGCTGCCCCAATGAGTGTTAGCGAACTTCACATGTCTTCGAAATATTATTTTTTCTTATTTCTCAGACATGCTGGTTTCCTCAGTTAAAGGTTCTAAAAACATTAACAGCTACTCAGAAGCTCTACAATTCAAGCTATCATTCACCCAAATCATTCACCCTCAAGCTCTACATTTCACCCAAATCTGCAAAACAAGACTATAAAAATGTTACCGCATTACAAAAGAAATATCAATCAAACAAGACAATTAGGCGCGAAGAAACTACTACATGCAATGAATCAGAACCACTTCTCGCTCCATATGTATAGACGCGAATGACATCAGGCAGCACTGATGACGTTAACCATCTTACAGAAGCACACTTAAATGTCAGTTTATAGCAGACCTATTCTGGCAGTGGTAAATGTGAGAATAACTTCCGGAACTTCCGTACTAGCTGGAGCCCCAATTGTTAGAGGGCTACTTAAAAGCGGGCGACATCGTGTTCGACGCAGCCTACACACTAACTAGATACCATAATCGCAAGAGATATTCAGCAAGATGCATAAGTGCAACAGTGGACGTACGTACGAATGTTAGATCCTGCGCAGAGCTACCAAGAAGCTCTTCGTTTTAGCAACAGAACCGAGTGCTATGCGGTAGGAATAGTTATTATGTTTGTTTACTCTCTGAACTAACAGAATTAACTCGTTAACTATCAGAATCGAAGTCGTGTTTCGTTAGGAATTGGGTTTTCATAGGAATATTTTATGTTTAAATAGAATTAATTTGCAGCTTTTAATTTTTTTTAATAATCTATCAGATTGTGATTTAATTAGAGTAGATCTAAGTAAAAATCTTTAAAAAATATATAGCAATATAGATCACAGTTAATAAGATTTACATAAAATTAAGACATCAAGACACTTTTATAAAAACAGAAATTTGTTAAGCAAAAAAAATATAAGGGCCTCGTATACGGCAGCAGAACCACACACATATATTATTAATACACAAATATTTTTTAATTAAATTGTTGGCAATGTCTGTGTAAGTTAAAACATACCTCTAATCGCTTTTCCCAAAACAACTGCTTTGGTTTCTCTTGTGTTCCTTGTTTTAAATCTGTCTTAACTTTGCTTTCCTGTGTCTTATAAACAGTTACTGGTTGCTTAAAAATGGATGCTGTCTGTCGAATTGGTGGCACCAAAGAAGCATCAGAGCGGGCTCCTCTGTTAATGAAAAATAAATACATTAAACAAACAACTGCACATCCTCATTTCATTTAACTTCTATTTTGATATTTTACACGATTTCTATTTACTATCTAATCTGTATTAAATATACTATCTAATTAAGGACAAAAAATGTTTATCTAACACATATTTAAATAATTAATAATATAAAGTTTATTTATGTATAAAAACTAGATGTTCATCGACATTTTAATAATAATTATGATATTACTAACATAATGAGTTTTAAGTATGATGCAAACACACAGAAAAAAAATAGCTTATAACCTGGACTAAAATAAAAACCAGTGAAAAATATCGTTTCTCATGCTTAAAATTAAAACTCATGCTTTAAATAATGATTTTTGTTAATGACAAATTATTAAAAAATAAAACAAGAATTAATACATTTTTGTTGTGAAATTACCAGACCTTTTTAACAACAAAGTGAAAGCATGATTAGAATATTGGGTTGAGTAACATTAACCTTGTCATAAAAATTGATATTATTTAAAACACCTTAATATATTGTATTATGTATAAGTATACAAACCAACATTTATATCAAATAAATATATTATATTCAACATTCTTAATAGGTACTCATATTGTTATGACAAGAATTATATTTTTTAGATTAAATGAAATTTGTGATTTGAATATAATGCTAAAGAAAAGCTCCTACGAAAAAGCTAAGCCATCTAAAAACAAAAAGAAGTATTCAATAAAGCTGTGCTAGTTGTATGATATGACTAAATATAAACATATTGCTTTTTTCCATTATGCTTTTAGTCCAGTAAAAATAAAATCTGTTTGTGTGGAGTTAGGATTTAAAATATTACCGTCAGGATCAGGATTGACATATTGAGTAAATATTAAATAATTACTTTGTTTATACTAGTTTCAAGACAAAAATTGTATAGAGTAAAATTTTGTCATGTCACATACCTACCTACATAATCACTATTTATAAGTAAGAGTTGACATCAAGGTAGGCAAAATTTTTATTACTTGTTTTGTAAAGTTTTATAATATTTAACACAAATACATTAAATAAAATAAATTATTGTATGTCAAATTTTAAGGGAATCTCTTGAAATCTGTTCAGCGTTTTTTTAATAAAATCAAAAACTCATAAGCGGATATAGAACTGTCGTTCTTGATATACTGCGACATGTCCTGCTTTGAAGCATTATGTTCCTGGGATCTCGGTCACTTCCGACCGATTTCTACGATAGTTCAGTAAAACCTAAAAGCTGTTAGCACTTTTTTATATGTTAATTTATAATAGATAGTTGACCAAACGCGAGAAATCCGCAAAGAAAAGTAGTACCTACTGTATACCCAATAAGAAAATTAGAATGATGATTTTTGACAGACACATTATATGTACAAATTATATTTATATGAATTGCGATTTTGTAACAAAACTTACACTTTCACAGCATAAAAATAAAATCGCTTTGGAGTCTATAGGTGATATAAATCCAACTTTTCACCTAAAGTGTATTATTTATTAATCTTAAACCCTCCACCAACCACAAATATTAATTCAAAACGAATTTTCCAAGGAGTTCTTAATGCAATCTCAGAACTTATTTTGACTGGACTATGTAGAATTTTACTTAAGCTACAAGGCTACAACACTGAAAACATTATACAAAGAAGGTTTTCTGGAATTCATAAATATGGGAATAGCACTATGGCTACTTGTTACATTGAAAGCTTCATCTGGGGATATAGCAATAAAAATATAGGTGTAAACACAAAGCACAACTGCAATAATGATCACAACACAAGTGAAAGAAATTATGACACTAATGGAACCTGTAATCAAACTGGGCTCGAGCTTTCTTGGCCTTGCACAGGAGCATTGTGTTTATCTGACCCTGTTGGAAGTCAAAACATGACAGGTCCATACTATCACCCAGATAACGAACTAGTTCTGGTTTACTGCGAAACTTTTTACCTGTAGGGCTATAGAAAATTTATTATCACTATAGACCAATTGGCAACAATAAGCTACTGTTACAGTTAGTGTTTGTGTTGACTAAAAGAAATAATAAAATTATTTTGTTACTTCAACTGGTGCATTTAATGTGGTGCATATAATAACAGTTAAAATTACTATGGGTTCAAAACTATTGTTTATAATTGTTGGCGACGCGCCTATAAAAATATTTCAATTTATTAGTTAACCGATTACGAATAGCTTCTAAAAAGCAAATTATCAAGCAACAATATTCCGATAAGAAAATGCTTAGTTGAATCTTAAAGAAATATCGAATTAATGATATGAAGGTCTTCGGTTCGACTCCCAGGCCGGAATAGTTTATCGTTTTCTTAGTAATATCTCGTAATAAATTCATATAGGGAATTTTAAGATATAAATTATGTTACCGGATTTGTTCCCCGGTTGAAATCATCTTTACAATAATGTTAATTTAAAGAAATATTAAAATAAAGTTAGAGACCAGGATTTGTTCCCCGGTCGAGATGATCGCTGTGCATAAGTAGAATTAATGGAAATTAATTGCATAAGTATTGTCTTATATGAATTTGATATGTTTTGTATGAAAACAAATGCCTATTTTCTATGATTGATTTATGAAAACATTCACTTATATTGTTTGATAAGAAACATGATAACTGATAAGAATCTGATTAGAAATAGTTTTCGGCGTTTGAGAATTGTGTAGAATCATTTATTCACCTAGTATTGTTGATATTAGTGTATACTAAACTTTCCATTTTTACTGATAGTCGATAGCCGTGCAAAAGTTAGTTGTTCAAATAGTGTGAGTTCATAGACGCACGCTAGCCACGTACTTAGGAGGCCAAATATGTAGAAATTTAAATATTTGCAAATTTCAGCAATTTATGTAAAAGGACTTGTAAAACATTTCAGATTGATTGTACGTGTAAAAGAGGTAAATTCTGTGTTATTTTATGTGAAAATTCCTGTGAATAAGTGGAATAATGATAGTTTTGTATAAGAAATTTAAAAGTGTTTTAATAGTGAAATGTATAGAGAAAATGAATTAAACTATTGTATTAGTTAAGATAAATGTACATAATTTCAAGTGGAAAACATTGTTTTAACTTTCTATGTTAAATATTTAAGAAATTCCAACTTTGAACATGTGAGTAAAATAAGCATATTTTGTTAAATAAATAAAGGGTTTTTTGTGATATGAAAATGTAATGTATATCGTAGTATAGATATTTTTTTGTGCTATCTTTATAAGTAAATTGTATAAATGTATGACTTATACAAATAAAGTTATTGAGCAAACCGTGAGAGAGTGATAGTACAAATTGATGCAATTGAGTTGCGCAAGCGCACAAATGGCGCGGCTCACTTTTGCGTTTAGCTTCGAGGTAGTTCAGTAAATTGATTTTTCTTGCAAATCGTTCGGGAAAAGTGCAAGACCAGCAGTCAATAAGAAGAAGAAAGAAAAAGTATAGGGAAGTGATAGGGAAAAGTAATTACTCTCTCACGGAACGGCTTGAAGATAATTGCTGTTTTATTCCCAAGGAATTCTCCCCTTAAAGTGATACAGTCCATATCGAAGAATTAAGGCGTTGGGACCGGGACGACTTCGGAAGACCCGTAATCCCCGCCTGAACCTATTTTCTGAAAAGGAAGAAGTTATCGCCCTTGTGTGTTACTCCGTTGCGGAGATCACATACGTTGTTCCCGAACCCAACGTAGGCGTTATAGGAGGCCGGATCGAGAGAAGCCTCGATTCACAATTTTGTTTCTTAGTTAACGTTTGTCTGGTTCCTTTTCAAGTGGGCCTTCGAGCAGGATCAAGGAACCAGCTGTGGACTGCTGGTTATGGAAAAAAAGACCTTCGGAGCCGAGTGAAGATCAGCAACCGAAGGAAGCCGGAGGTTTGAACTGAAGCAACAGGACCAAACGCCGTAAAACCAGGTCAGCGCAGTAGGACCGGACCTGGAACTACCAGAAGAAAGAAAATCGGGATTGCGGCTTGGGGCGTGTGCTCGCATGGGGCACGTATCGCAGCCAGGTGCAGGTGCCTTGTGAAGGCGCTCATCGTGGCCAAGCAGGGCTTGGCATTTTTCCTGTCCGGCAAGCGTGCTCGTGTCCGACATTTCCTGTCGGACGACCGTGTCCGGCATTTCCTGTCGGATCATCAGAGGGTGCAAGAAGAAGAAGCATCCACCGCTGCTGCTGCCAGGCGAGGGTGCTCGTGGGCACCTGACTGCATCGCGGCCGGAAGAGGGCGCCTGGACGAGGCGTCACCGGCGACTGGGCGACGAAGCGCAGCATACATCCCGACCACCTAACGGTGCCAAACGGTCGGGCTCTGGCACAACACCTTCGGGTGGAGCAGTTCTCTCGAGCGAGACTGCGCTTGCACTACCGCTCGACTGTTTCTTCATATTCCTTGGCGGGACAGTTCCTAAACCTTTCCTCCATTCCATTCCTGCACGACTCCGTCCCTGGACGGCTCACCTCGGTAGGCCCCGTTCAGGATTGATAGGGCTGATAGGGCTGTTAGGGTGGTAATAAGGTTGTAGGGTTGGGAGATAAAGGGGGGGGTAGTGGGGTTAGGTTGGGGTGTAGAAAGGTTTTAGGTAAGGGGTTGTAGGGACCGTAGGGACAGTTAGGGACCTTAGGCCAACAATCACCTTCCTGCAAGATGAAGAAAGGGAGAAGCAAAGGAACCAAGACAAGGACAGGGCCCTCAAGAAAAGCTAAAGAGGCGGAACCATCTGGAGCGACCACAGCTACTGCTTCGAGTGGAACAACTCCTTCAAGTGGAGCCACCACCGATACGTCCACATGCACGTGGGACTCAGGGGCGTCCATGGCAACGACAAGCAACAGGACGGACACCAGTGGTACGCAGGCCAGCACCGCACAACAATCCGTTATATCCAGGAGTGAAACGGTAGTCGAAAAAGTAGGTCAAAGGACCGAAGAAGCGGTATCGTCAAGGACAGTAATCGGGCACACTAGTGACAAAGGGTCACAGAGAGGTAGTAGGTCATCGCGATCGGCGAGGCTGAAAGCCGAATTAGAGGCGTGGATTAAATTCGAACGCTCAGAGCTCGAACGAGCACAGGCAGCTGCTGCCTTAGCCAAGTCTCAATTGGAGTTGGCACGACTCAACCGAGAAGAGGAGATCGACTCGAGTGAGGATGATGAAGAGCGGAATACTCAGGTGGAACCTTTCGTAAGGAGTTGGGTTCAACAGACCATAATGAGCGCGCCGGTTAGTGTAACGCAACCCGATATTACTGATAAGGGAGCGTGTAAGGGATCAAGCCGCAAAGGGGCGGAGGTCGAGCGCAACCTAGGAAATGCACAGAAAGCACACGCCAGTGAGGTGTCAGAATTGACCAAAGCGATTGTGAGTGCAATAAAGATAGCGGGTAAAGATAAGTCTTCCCAGCTTCATTTCCTCCAGGAATTACCGGTCTTCGATGGAGATCCGGGTGAATGGATAATTTTCAAAACGGTGTTTGAAGACACGAGAAGCCAATTTTCAGGGGTGCAGAATGTCGCACGCCTTAGCGGTTAAGTCATTGTTGTTAACTTTGTGTGAACCTGAAGAAATAATGAACGCTCTCGAAAGAAGATTCGGTAGGGTTGAGATTCTCATTCTAGCCGAAATCGAGAATGTAAAGCGTATGCCAAGATTGGCAGAAGATTGTCGGAATATAGGATCTTTTGCAAGTCGTATTACGAACGTGGTTGCCACAATACAAGCGTTGAATCAACCACAATATTTATACTCACCGGAGTTAGTGAGCCGCATAGTGGAGAAACTTGGAACTATGAATAAATTTAAATGGTTTGAATATCGAGCTCAGCATCCTTTGGAGCCAGAGTTACAGAAGATGGCCAAGTTTTTAAATTTATTGAGTGAACTATTTGGAACGTCCTTAAGCAATGAAAATGTGCCTGAAAAACGGAAGCGTCCTAAATTCAGGAAGCAAACTGTAGCCACTGCAAAGGGGTCTGTACGCAACCGTTTCAAGAGCGAGCACTATGAGCGCCGAAGTAATACGAGCGAGCGTCTAGAACGCCGAAATAATAAAGGGCACAACCGACAAGTGGTTATGATAACCCAGGACCAGCCTGTAAGTCGGGTAACACATAAGTGTGTTATATGCAACAAGGAGCACTCTATAGTGAGTTGTTACAAGTTTAAGGATATGAATATTCGCGAGAAATGGGACGCGGTTAAAAAAGCGAAAGTATGTTTCCAATGTTTGTCACCTAACCATAGGAGGTTAGAGTGCAGAGCAAAAAAATGTGGTGTAGAGGGATGTAGAATGTCACATCATCGAATGCTACACCGATACCCCAATGAAAATACCTCGCCGCAAGGGGACGAGGGGGGTAAAGAGGCTCAAATTACAACTGTTAGTACAGTGAATGCACTGGCATGTGCATACTTAAAGATTATACCGGTCGAGTTGTATGGACCTAGAGGAAAGGTCAAGACAACAACTCTTCTGGATGAAGGATCGACCATGACACTCATAGAGGAGTGGATGGCTCAGAAGTTAGCGCCTCGCGGACGTAAAGAAGAATTACGTATTGAAGCCGTGGGAGGTAAGCGAATCAACGACGACAGTTCGTATCGCTTAAACGTTAAGATAAAAGGCATTTACTACGAACGACTTAGAGGAGATAAGTGTACAAACAATTAAGTCACTTAACCTTTCTCCGCAGTCAATAAGCCGAGAATTATTTCAACGGTGTTCTCATTTGACACCGATTAAGGACGAGTTGATGTATAGTAGTAGGACAATTGGCATCTCATAGTTACTCGTGAATTAATTTCAGGAGGTAAGAACCTACCTGTAGCATCGCTCACCAAACTTGGATGGGTTTTACATGGTCACATATCGGGTGGCATCAAACCAATCAAGATTGTTAACCACATTTCCACAAAGAAGGAGGAAGATATGGATAAGTTGATCAAAGATTATTT